GGTGTGGTTCAGTTAGTTGGGCATCATCCCAAACACTGAACGGTTGCCAGTTTGATTCCAGGTCAGGGCACGTGCCTGGGTTGAGGGCTTAATTCCCTGATCCCCAGTAGGGGGTGTGCAGGAGGCAGCCGATCAATATTTCTCTCTCCCCCTTCTTCTCATTCTAAAAATCAATTTTAAAAAAGTTCAAAAAATAATCATGCACTGATTTACATCTAATCTAATTACCCCCAAATGTCTAGATTCCTCTCACTAAGAAATTTAGATTGAAAATTCATATAAAATTTTTCCAGAGAATAGAAAAGATTTAGAAATGTTTAAGCACCAAAAAGAGCTCTTTGTTGCTCAATGGAGACCAAAAATACAGCTATTTGCTTATAAAATCTTAATAATGGTTTCCCTTGCAGGTCCTATTACAAATACTTTTATCCATCTGGCTGTGCTATTTTAAGATATTTTCTGAAAATAATTCCTATGACAGCTCATGGAAGCCACAATGCTATTTGACATATTAATTGGATCTTTTTATGCTTTAAGATGCTGTATATGTATTTCTTCAATTACTTAAGTTACAGCTGATGTTCTAATTTCTAGATCCCATTAGGCTTACTATAAATATTCTAACCAGATGTTTAAGTGTTTGTTTTGCCTCAAAGAACATATAAGCAAAACGAAAAATATCAGTGCTATCTTCTAATATAGTAGCAACAGTTTGTATAGACCCCACATTATGCATAGTAATTCTTTCACTACTTAAACCTAGTAGGCTGTAGAGTAACTAGACTTCTGAAAGTAACTTTAAGGGCACCTAACTAGATCGTTCAACTTTCACGTTCAAATTTACTTCTATTCAGATAGTTCCATATCTTTTTAGGTTTCCTTGCTTCTACTGTTTAACCTTGCCTAAAAATGGCAATGGGGTACTTTTATATGTAACTCTTAAAATACAGTAGAAGCTCTCTTAGCTGCCATAATTAAGAACAGTAAGGGGAGGGTGGCTGATTAAAACATAGAACTGTTAAGAAAAATTACAAGTCAACTTTAATGTAACAAAACATAGACATGGCAATATTTTAATGTCAGGCCAAGACCTTTTCTTTACCTGTTGACTGAAGGTTCTATATTGCCTTTCTTATATAAACTACATCTGTGATTAGCTAAAAATATGGTGGGCAAACTTTTTCTGTAAAGGAGATAATAAACACTTTAGTCATTGTGGACCTGTAATGCAGGTCTCTGTTGCAAGCCCTCAACTGTGCTGCTGAAGCACAAAAGCAGTCCAAGGCAATATATAAACAAATGGGCGTGGCTATGTTACATTAAAATTTTATTTAAACAGCAGGCTAATTTGCTGAACCCTGATCTATAATTTTGTGTTTTCATTTCTTTAGAATGGAGCAAGAAAGATACTGTAAGAACATTTAATTTGAAGGCAGAATCCCCCTAGATTTTTTAATTTCCTCCTTGACCCTTTACAGTTACTTACTTTCACCCATGTCTAATTCACAGTCTCTATTTGATTTGCCTTTGAGTCTTTAAAAGGTTATTTGCCTTTGATTTTTATAGGAAAAGCAACTTCTCCTGCCTTCATGTCTGTTTAGTAACTGGCATAAACAGGTTTAGGAAATAGCACAACTGGCTCTTGGTAAGCAGACAATTATACTGATGGGAGCAATAATAAGAACACCTTGACCCTGGTGAGCTGGGTAAACAAAAGTCAGTTAAAAAAGCTTCTACTGTAGTATACATCTCTAAGAAAGTAAAAAAACAAAAACAAAAAACAAACCAAAAACTCTAAGATATAGTTGGATGTTTTCATATAACAGAAAACTTATAAAAAATGGCACATGGAACTTACTTTAAAACCAAGAAATCTGATACTCTAATTTGGGATCCCTATTTTGACAAATATTTTAGATGACTCACATAATACGAACCTACTAAGTTTTAGAATTAAAACCCATCAACTTATAAAATATTTACAATAAATGACTAAAAGAGAATAATGATGAAATTACCAAAGTAAAACTGTTTTCTGATCCCCCAATCTGATCTATGACAATGGGGTGGAGCGATCTCTTTACCAAGATGGTAATCTTATAATGGATAAAAACTACCTCTTAAGTCTATAAAACCAAAATGATTGCTATTTAAGCAGCTTAAAACACCACACTATTACTTATGGTTTACCAAATAATCAAGTCTATACCTCTAGATTGAAGGAGGTCAACTTCTTTCAGTGTACAGTCAACATTTATCTGGAGTTGTCTGTTCATGCTTCTCAATCTTGTCATTTCCTCAGGCTAGTAAGAAAGGACCCAAAATAGCAATTGTGGGAAAGTCATTATCAAGCCCAACATTTAAGAACTGCTATTCATGTTAATCATTCTGATTGCTTATTACCAAGAATATGGCCTTAGTCCATAAGAGGGCATGATTAAGAAGTCGTATGTGTTGTATTTTTCAAGGAACTGTCAGGTAAAATGGGGACATCAGTATGGCCACATATAATGTGGCAGGCTACAATACTAGACAGTTCTATCATACAAAATACTACCATTTTAATCACAGAACACTGAGAATATTTTATTTCTATGTTTTCATTATAAGGGAAACTATTAAGTATGAACCTTTTAAACAAGCAACATCCATGATTGTAGTTTTGTCCAGGGTAGTTAAAATTACAATAGTACTAATTTTAATTGACACTTACTGAGTGGCAGGCACTGTGTTCATCAGAATTCTCTCATTCTTTCCTCAAAACAATCTTTCAAGGTAAATACTAATATCACCCCTAATTTACACATGAGGATAGCTGAAGCGCAGAGGTTATATAATTTTCCCAAGGTTATAAAAGAGACAGAATTTATATAAGTCATCTATATGAACTTATATAGAAGCAATTAACCTAGTACATGAAAATTTCAGGAACAAATGGGTTCCATTCTTCCTCCAACTTTATTTCCTTCCCCCTCAACCTTTCTAGCCCAGCCGACTCCCCAGGCCTTTCGGGGCAGATATGTGACACTGAAATATGAAAAGCGCCTTATTCTTCAGTTATGTAAGGCTTTTTGGAAGACTTTATTTCCTGTCATTCTGAATGCCTTTACTATTTTACATGTATGTAAAGAGGTTAGGGTTTAGACACCAGAGGCATGAGTACCGAAGCTTTCAGCACAGCCTAGATATTAACTTGGTTTCTAAAGTGACTCTACAAAGTACAAGATAAAAATCTGCTATGATAGGAAGACAAAATAAAATCCCATTCTATTAAAAACGTGTGTTTTGCTAAAAGCTAAATATGTTATGATAAGGGTGAAGAAAAATGAGCAAAAAGGGTTACTTTAATTCACAATAATGCAAGATCTTATGCTGTTAGGAGGTATTACTAGAATAACAGAGAATGCCCACTAAATCAGCAGGTATCAAGAGTTTAAAATAAGTGCTATTACAGGCAAAATATAGTTAAGAGCTACAAATCCCTTAGAATGCCAGGGGAACATAAAAGTCATTTAGAAATATTTATTAGGGATTGCTTTTCTTTTCTCATTCCTATGTGACATTAACATGTAAAGTGCTTATACCTTGTCTACCAAACAGGCAATATTAAGAGTTTAATGTAAATGCTCTGGTATGTTTTAAAGATAAAGCACTTGTTCAAGGATTTCAAAGAGTGATGCTGTCTTCCTAGGACTATGTGAAAGAACCTGTTTTCTTTGTAGGATCATATCAGCAAAGTCAAGTACCTAAAGGAGCTGATCCTTCCTATATAT